TCTCGTGTTTTGGGCATATTTACCTCGTTTCCAAAGGTCGAGATCGCGAGAATGCGAGATCGCGAGAATGTCCCTTACAGTATTCCATAAATAAGGGCCGTAACTATGTATGCTTAAACTCAAGGGAAGTAGCTATGGAATAATATAATTTACGGGACCAATTTTCGAACACAGTCTTCACAAGTATCTCCAAGTTTCATTCATGTAATGTCAGTAGTTTCTGAGAAAAGCTGTCCCAATTGCAGACACTATGCACTAAGTTGAAAAATATGGAGCAAGGGCAATAACTCTGGAAACAAATAATTAACGGCACCAATTTTCGAACTCAGTTTTGACAAGTATCTCTTAGAAGAGCATGGAAACTGTCGTTCATGTAATGTCAGTAGTTTCTGAGAAAAGCTGTCCCCATTGCAGACGCTATGCACTAAGCTGAAAAATAAGGAGCAAGGGCAATAACTCTGTAAAGAAATAATTAACGGCACCAATTTTCGAACTCAGTTTTGACCAGTATCTCTTAGAAGAGCATGGAAACTGTCGTTCATGTAATGTCAGTAGTTTCTGAGAGAAAAATGTCCCCACTGCAGACATCATGCACTTAGCTGGTGTTTAATTGCTTTTGGGGTTAAAAAAAAAGTCGAACCTCAAAGTGTATCTCTAATATTTCCCATCTCGTTAATATTACCACTGTTCGTCTTTTCATTGCAAACGCTGGGTGTGTCTACGCGAATCTGTGTCATACAGGCCTCCTATTTATAGCCATATGGTCTATTAGAAACGACGCACATTAATGTATTACTTATGGAAGTCTATATCTAATGCCTTATAGCTTTGGTGAAGTTTATACGGGCATATTTTAAACAGATTATTAACTTTCATGTGAAGACAGGTATTGTTTCATACTGTATACTGCTCACTGACAGTGTACATAAATGTTTTTACCTGTTTATATTATAATATCGCTGTGTCTAAGGTTAAGACTTAAATAAACTGTCTGATTGCCTGTCAAAAATACATTCAGCTTATAACATAAGAAAAGGACTAGTACATAGCTAATCCCTTGCAACTTCAATAAATGTATTTTTTAAATGTTTATTTTTTCTTATTTTAAAATCTTAACCAAGTTACTTACTAGATAATAGATTCACATAAACACAAATACCCTCAAAGACATAATCCTGTTTGATCACATGTAACTGTTAATTATTATGTGAGTTTCCCCTGCTTCTCCTCTAATCCCTTCTCTTGGGCAGTGGGGCGGTCGGGTAGCCTAGTGGTTAAAGTGTTCGCCCGTCACGCCGAAGACCCGGGTTCGATTCCCGACATGGGTACAATGTGTGAAGCCCATTTCTGGTGTCCCCCGCCGTGATATTGCTGGAATATTGCTAAAAGCGGCGTAAAACCATACTCACTCACTCTCTTGGGCAGTTCGTGTAGACGTTCACTGATGCAAAATACCCTTTCCGTGTGTCATGAATTGTCAACAGTACTGCTGTTTGACAAAGTATTTAACGCTTGTTGTTTGCGCAACTTGCACCAACCTCACGTCACACGAAGACGAATGAATAAAGACTGAAGTTACAGTAACAAAGTATTCAATAACCTGTGTTATTATTTGTGATACTTTATGAATAGAGACTGAATTTACAGTAACAAGATATTCAAATAATTTTGATTTGATTTTTTTCACTTGCAAAGACCTCTCATCATAAAGTGAGTGAGCTTGATTTCACGCCGCTTTTAGCAATATTCCAGCAATATCACGGCGGGGGATACCAGAAATGGGCTTCACACATTGTACCCATGTCGGGAATCGAACCCGGGTCTTCGACGTGACGAGCGAACGCTTTAACCACTAGGCTACCCGACCTCCCCTCATCATAAAGAGATGATTAATTAATAACGACTGAATTTACAGTAACGAGGTATACAGTTAATTGTGTTGGCGTTTGTGCAATTTGCAAGCATCTCTCATTATAAAGAGATAATGAATGAATACAGACTGAATTTACAGCAACAATGTATTCAAATAATGAATAAATTTATCTAATAAATTTAAAACATTTAATAACAGTTGTTATTTGTGCAATTTGCACATTTCAATTAATCATGTTGTTATTCATGTAGTTTTTAAAATTGCAAGCAACTCTCATCACAAAAGGAAGCAGAAATCAGTGAAGATAATTATGACAAATGAATTAAAGTTTTATTAAAGTCAAGGATGTAACAACCACGTTGACAAGAACACATGATGTATTCTTCATAACATATTTCCCCACGTTGAATATGTAAATAATTGATATTACAGTTTCATTTACAATTGACAAACTATAATACTATGAATATTAAAATACATCATCACTAGAACGTCACCAGCAGAAGCTTCTCACAGACAGACACGAATTCTAATCAAGTTTGTTCGTCTTTGACAAAGAATGCATGACCTGGTTGAGTGACTTCCCACTGAGAAAGAACTGATAAACATTCCAAAAGACATCCTATCTACATGGTATTCACTACTAATTTCCTCTGATAATAAACTGTTACCTTTGGTGTCCCCAAGCACTACTACTAAGTACGGTCATTGGGCAATTGAAAAATCACAAATCTCAGTGAGATCCTGTCTGCATGGTCCCGTCCGGTGATTCTAGGACCATAAATCCTATCTTCAGTCAGACAACACGACAGTCTATATTCATTTCCAATATCTTGTTATAATTAGATGTTTATATGTTAGAAAAAACACAAATGTATTCGTAATTATTCTTATAAAATGAGAACCGCCTCCGTGGTCTTGTGGTAGAGCGTCCGCCCGTAGAGCGGAAGGTCCAGGGTTCGATCCTGGGCCGCGTCATACAAAAAGACGTTAAAAGATTGTACTTGTTGTTACCCTGTCTGGCGCTCGGCATTAAGGGGCTAAAACAAGGACTGGTCGGCTCGGAGTCAGTATACTGTGTCTGAGTGGGGTATTCATGTTAAACTGCGGCATGGTATCTCAGTGAGCTAGCACTATAAATCGGCATCAGTCCGGACTAGTACAAGCAGCCACACACACATACACGTGCATGCACGTCGCTATATAAGTGCAATAATCTTGGACGCGACGTTAAACCCAATTTCACCTCACATCTTATAAAATGAAAACAAAAGGCTGTTTCATTGAAATGGGCGAGGGAGTGCGTGATTTTACGCCGCTTAAGTCAATTTCCAGCCACGGTGGAGACACTGACGTACAGCTATTATTGTTATGAAGACCATCTTTACCGATTTTGATGTAAACAAAAACATAATGAACAAACCTTCTTGCCTCATTTGCAATATTTTTACACAGCCATTATCAGGACATGTGTGTCATAGAGTGCATCACACAGCATTACACTCTCTGATAGGTGTGAGTCGGGTGTCTAGTCGTCTAGGAAACCGCAATTCCCTAAGCAGAGTTACATCTCTTTGGCTTCTCAGAAACCTACGATCATGGGTTCGAAATACGTACTCTCTCTAACTTTGTTTGTAGGTTTGTCAGCACCATATCCGTGCGGATGGGTTTTACCACTTTGACATGTAACACTTGGGGCTGAAATCAGGTTCAACGTCGGGAAACACTTTTTTATATAGCGACGTACACGCACATGTGTGCAGTTACCAGAAAGAACTAAATCCTGCTGGGGGTACCGTTAGTCCCCATGTCCCCAGCCTTGCTTGCTGTCGATCTTCAGTCTGATGTTCATATTGTTGACTAGGCTGTTGTTTCATATGTACTCTAACCTGTGATTTAAGCTGTTATTATGCTGTTATTAGTCGACATGTTCTTATATACTATATGATAAAACATGTTAGACCCCAATATGTCTGCAATATTGCTGAGGTGACTTTAACGTTTGCACTTTAACTTAAACTCGCGCTTAGACTCACACGTTTGCGTCCCGTTGCCTTGCCAGGATCCGCTTCTAGTTGTTTCAATCCCAGCCCCCCCCCCCCCCCCCCCCCCTGGGGAGTTTTGTCGGCATCCAACCCTTGTATTTTGGTTTTGCCAAAGTAAGAAACGTCCACAACCTGCGTCAATACTGTGTTAATTTGTTCAAAGCGTCGTTATATCATTCAGACACTCTCTCGTACAAGGCGACCAAGTATGTTTAGTAGCTGTGACATCATTCATTCGAAGTTTTTGAATGCGAATCATTTGAGCCAATACCAGAAACAAACAGTTATGCATAAAATACAACAAACAAACATCTAGGCGTATGCATATACCATTCATAATTTAGGTAATAATAAATAATACCACGATTTACAACCATTAATGCGCATAAGTATCATCATAACATGCATCAATGGCGGGTGCTGTCGCTTGGACAGGACAAACTTACCCTTTTGTCGAACACCTGGTGTCATCACTGATTTTCAGTTTTCCATTGATACAATTTAACAGTTATTTTGCCATCTTCGTAAAATGGAATATGTTTCGGCGGATAATCAAAACTGGTTATTCTCTTGCATTTACATTATATATTTACCACCACATACAGTCGTCTAGGCGTTCACATGTACTTATGTCAAATATCATTCAGGCCTTTTTCACCTGAGTGAAGCGTTAAAGAAGAAACAAACAAAATCAAAACAAAATAAATAATCATCTAGGCAGTATACCTTTATAATACCACATAGTGACAAAATGATGCAATTTTCCAATTTGGACTTGTACACCCGTGGTTTGTCTAAGGTGAACAATTGACTTGCCTTTGCATGTGTTTGCGACGGGTAGGGAAGGGTACGCTCGCCTTTTCGTGAACACCTGGTATCATCACTATTTGATAGTGATTCGTAAACGCATGCTCATGATATAGTCGGAATCGTACAATGGACTGTACATTTAGTTGATATTTCTAATGCTTAATGATATGAAAAGAGTTTTGTCGCTTAAATTTATTCAAAATGTGTTTTTTTTAAGTCGAAACTTAATTCATGGCTACTGTTTCTTAAGTGTGCCAATCGTTTGTTTCCAGGTGGATTTGGATGGATCTTCTCAAGCGCAAACACACTGCCTAGATTTAAACCACTGAACAGTAAGGATACCATCGGTTTTCTATTGAACATGTTGTGTATGTTACCGTAAAGATAGTTTGAGAATTGTAATTGTTTTCTTCACTGGACAACGTTGTAAAATCATGAAACCTTATACAGCATAATGTTTAGAATACAGAATACACGATAATGGCAATTTCAATTCGATCCATCCTTCTATCATCCATCTATCCATCCTTCCATCCATTCATTCGTAATAATTATTTCGTAATCTGTTTGGTTGTGTACCTGCAACCATGACGTTTTCTATGTTATCATAATCAGATGTTGATTTAAACTGTCCTATATGTTTTACAAGTACTGGTAACCAAACATTACGAATCAATACTATTCTCTTATGTCGCCATCCTCTTTCCAGCAACATTTGAAGATTGTACAGACAGCTCGATGGATTTGGTTATTCTGCTTGACTCGTCGGGAAGCGTTGGTTCCACCAATTTTCTTCGTTTCAAACAGCTCATGATCGAAGTCGTCAGCGCGGTCAATATTGACGATGGAATGGCCCGTGTTGCTGTGGTCACATTCTCTACATCCGCCAAAGTCGAATTCTTACTTGATGACTTCTCTACAAATAAAGGTGTTCAGAAGGCGATTAAAGGCATTGTATATGAAGGAGGATTTACGAACATTGTCTCCGGCCTGTCCATGGTTTATAACACAGTGTTTCAGAGAAAAAGGGGGGACAGACCCGACGTCAGGAACGTCCTGTTGCTAATAGTTGATGGACCTTCAACTGAGGATTCATCCTTGACCATACCTACGGCCACTCTTGTAAAGGAATCGGGTGTCCATATATTTGTTGTAGGCATACAAGAGGCTGACATTGATGAGATTACGGGCATCGCTTCCGAACCAACTGAGGTTAATTGTATCAAGGGACACTTCGATGATCTTGAGAACATCGCAGATTATCTGTTCAAAACGATGTGCACAGGTTAGTCGGATTGATTCACAGTTAGAATTGGTCCCAATCAACATAGTGAGGTGAAATGGGGTTTAACGTCGCGCCTAAGATTACTGCACTTTTATAGTGTTTTGTGTGTGTGTGTGTGTGTGTGTGTGTGTGTGTGTGTGTGTGTGTGTGTGTGTTGCTACTTGAACTTGTCCGGACTAATGCCGATTTTATAGTGCTAGCCCACTGAGAAATCATGCCGCAGTTTAACATGAATACCCCACTCAGACACAATTTGCTGACTCAGAGCCGACCAGTCCATGTTTTAGCCCCTTCATGCCGAGCGCCAGGCAGGGTCAACTTACAGGATCGGATGGTCAGGCTCCGTGACATGTTTGATTGCGTGTTATCGTTCCCAGACCCGCTAATAACGATATCAATCACTTGATTGTCTGGTCCAGACTCGTTACAGGCCGCCCTCATATAGCAGGAATATTTCTGAGTGGAGCGTTACACAACAAACAAACAACCACAGGTAGGTACGATTATGTGTTGCTACGAAACAAATACGAATGGCGATATAATCAACGACCGCCTCCGTTGTCCAGTTGTAGAGCGTCTGCCCGGAGATCGGAATGTCGGGAGCTCGATCCCCGGCCGCGCCATACCAAAAGACATTTAAAGATGGTACTTGTTGTTACCCTGCCTGGCGCTCGGCTTAAAGTGGCTAAAACAAGGACTGGTTGGCTCGGAATCCTATTCTGTGTCTGAGTGGGGTGGAGTATTATATACTGGACCCCTTTGGGGATTCCGGGCAAAGTTTGGTTCTCTATAATCCCATGCTTGTCCCCTCAGACTCATTAAGGCCAACTAGAGGATCGCGATAACTTATGGGATATGATGATTTACACATTACGGATCATTGTGCCCGGATTGCGTGGATCATTGTCCACATTTTCAAACACGGGTTGATCTATGCTCACTGGATTGTCTGGTCCAGACTCGATTATTTACAGACCGCCGTTATATATCTGGAATATTGCAGAGTACGGCATTACACAACAATGAAAACAATAACTGATATGCCAAGACTCGGTTATTTACATGATGATGTGATGTAGCTGGTATAGTGCGGCGTTAAACAACATAATACAAGATGGACAAGGTACACGCCAGAGTGTCGCCTGGAGGTACAGTAGTACACGAATTTCGTGACTTTCCCCAAGGGTATTTGGGGCAGCAGACGTCCCGCTCTTCGTAATCCTACAATAAAACAAACGCGAACGTAGAACTTTGTTAAAATTGGATGATGAAGCTACAGTAAACTACGGTTAAAACGAACTCAAAGGGACTACTATTTTTAGTTCGTTACAACCGTAGTTCGTTATAAGCATATATACAGCTTAACTACTGCCAAAAGTCGGGACTAAAAAGTAAGTTCATTATATCCGTCAGTTCGTTATAAGCGTGTTCGTTATAACCGTAGTTTACTGTAATTCCATTCCTGTCAACTATAAGCCGCGAAATTGTTCTCTGGCCAAAGTCGGGATAAATTATCTCAAATGGACCATCACAATCCCAATGGACATTTTAAATTATTTTTTTAACTTTTATTGTTCCCAGAGTTGTAGAGTTATACATTATTCCGTTGAAACATATTTTGAATGGCATAGAATCTAAATGAACAGTTCATAAGCAAAAAATCGTATTGAGGCGGAAGCCTGTTTACTGTACAAGTAGTTGTTTCTTTGCGATTACGGAGAGGGGCGAGGTTTACCGATTGAGGGAGGTTTCACCAGGCACTTTCGTCACTGGTGTCGTGTTTTTTTGGCGTTTACTGAAGTTAGTAATGAATTCCTTTGTGTACATTAATATAACTATACTAAACTATATAATTTATAAAAACTGTAACAAATATTTGATAAATCATACTTAGTGAAAACATGGTGGCATCTGCACTTGTGGCCAGTATATCCTCACATATATATTGTAATGCCATTATGAAATAGCAGTAAAACTACCACAATATTTTATTTACCTTTATATATGTACAGAGAAATGAAGAAATGAATTTTAAAATGTTTCAAGGTATCGTTCGTGCCGAAACAATGTCGTCGTCTGTGACAACAACTGCAACTACAACAGCTACGACAACAGTTGCGACAACCACAGGTAGGGCGGGTGTGTTTGTTAGACAATGTACCTAATAACTAGTTGAATTTGTGTATAAAGACTTGACTAAATCAATAAAGTCTGTTGGCAATAATACACGGATAATGGTAACATTGAGTACTGGTTGATTTAAAACATGAAGAGTATTGAATGAAGTCTTCCATGAACAGATTAATAATTTGTGACTTTGTCACGTTTTCAAATTTGACTTACTAAGTAAGTGTTTATGCTACTTTCGGCAAGAATGGCTTACATATCATAAAGGGTACATCCTCACAGCGTCACATGTTTGGTACAGCACCCAGTAATTCGGCACAAAAGATTACTATACCCGCACGCTTCCCCAAACGTCCCATTGTTGTATATGAATTAGTCGTCGTTATTACACACGTATTACATAAAGTCGCCTTTGGCGTTAGCTCCATCTGTAGCAGGAGGGAGAGCAGCTACAGCCAATACCACGCCTGCTTCGTCAACGACCTCGTCAACTTCAGCAGGAGCGACGACAGAAGCAACGTCTTTCTCCACAACACCTACAGGTAATGCCTCGCCTGTCACGTCAATGGCCTCGACAACTTCAGCAGGAGCTACGACAGAAGCAACGTCTTTCTCCACAACACCTACAGGTAATGCCTCGCCTGTCTCGTCAACGACCTCGACAACTTCAGCAGCAGCAACAACGACAGAAGCAACGTCTTTCTCCGCAACACCTACAGGTAATGCCTCGCCTGTCACGTCAATGGCCTCGAAAACTTCAGCAGGAGCGACAACGACAAAAGCAACGTCTTTCTCCAAGACACCTACAGGTAATGCCTCGCCTGTCACGTCAATGGCCTCGACCACTTCAGCAGGAGCGACGACAGATGCAACATCTATCTCCAAGACACCTACAGGTAATGCCTCGCCTGTCTCGTCAATGACGTCGACAACTTCAGCAGGAGCGACAACGACAAAACCAAACATTTTATCCACGACAGGTGCTACCGCCACAACAACAACTACAGATACTATCACCTCTGTCACATCAACGGCCTTGACGCCTACAGCGGGTTTTACAATGACAGATACAACGGCTACAGGTAAGTACACATATTACGATGCTTGTCGCGACTCGGCCACACCGCCCGTTTCAAAGATATAACAGCACCAGCAACTGCATGTACTATGATTCGTCTTTCCATCACAGCCTCCATCAGTATTTACAACAGTAACTCGAATTATTAAGATATAATCAGTCAATCAATCCTGTTCACTGAAACCAAGCATATTTCCAGGTTTCTACACGTCCAACGCTTGTTACCGTCAGTGTGAGCAAATGGCAACCTCTACCCCAGAGGTTATTGATGACGTGATCAAAGATCTCCAACTGCCCAAAAGGGAACTGTCCAAGCAGATCGGCGAGAAGACCTCCACCTCCAATCTCTCTGAGAGTGAACAGATGGCTGGAAAGGGGGTATTCGTGGTCCTGTTGGCTCCATTTGCCTTTCTTGTAGGATGGGACCTCCTCGACCTCCTGAGGTACATCGACAGGAGGTACATAAACAATGACAGGGAGGGAATGTATTGAAAATATGAACACATGTTTTCCTATTTCCATATCCGAATATTTTATTTTAAAATGATGCGTGTCAAGAGAAGATACGGAATTTATAATTGAGTGGCGCATTTTGAGATAAAAAGTTCAAATGATGACAATAATCCAGTATGCAATGTGCGTTTGGTAGTCGTTATATTACTGTTGAAATGTGTTCGTTATCTTTACACTTAGTAAATCATATCGCCTAGAGAAAATCCAATGTATCTTTAGTTCATGCTACCAAAAGCGGGGTATGTTTGTTTGTTTGTTTGTTGTTTAACGCCGCACTCAGCAATATTCCAGCTACATGGCGATGGTCCAGGGATTTAAATCATGAGTATTGATCTACGCAATTTGGATGCGGTGACATGCATCAACCAAGTCAGTGAATCCGACCACCCGATCCCGTTAATCGGCTCTAACGACAAGGAAAGTCGCCTCTCACGGCAAGCATGGGTTGCTTAAGACCTATTCTATCCCGGATTCCTGCTCGTATTAACAAATCAAAACAAGAGAACTTGGCCATGAAGGTACGCTTCAAGAACATAGTAGTATATATCGATGATCTGATATCGTTCAATAACGGTCAAATAGGCAATTCCCTTCCACTGATGTACCCACATGAGTACGAAATAATGGAGACTAGTCACTGTGGCATGCATCATATGTTCATGTTTAGATTCATGCAGAAAGATTCAGAGTGACAAAAGCTATCCACAAGACTTTATGGCAAGAGGCATGACTTCAGCTTTCTCTTGGTGTGGAGTAGTGTTACAACAGCTCCAACCTTGTGTCTACATTTCACAACTTTTGAGGTACACTTAAACATGCTCAGTTTATGGAGATTTCAAAGAGGGTCAGTCAAAAGTTCTTTGACCAGGGTTACAACATTCAAAACGTTAATAAAGCTTTTCCGCATTAGTGACCAAAATTATGTCCAATGCCGTTCCCTATTTCAACTTGTACCATTATGTTCCCGTGATGTCTCAGGTGAACAACTGACTTGCCTTTGCATGTGTTTGTGACGGGTGCCACTAGTGCGGCAGGATACGCTCACCTTTTTGCGAACACCTGGTATCATCACTATTTGATAGTGATTCATAACCACATGCTTATGATGTAGTCGGAATTGTACAATTGTCTCTACTTATAGCCGAACTTTCTTGTGATTATGGAAAGGGGTTTGTCGCTTTTATTTTCCTAGGCCACTCTCATTTTATTTCTAGTTTATGCTTTCGGTCGATAGAAGTGCAGTATATTTAGTATTGTTCTGGTAATGTGTGTATGTACCTTCTCCTCAGAACCGACTTCTCAGTACCTTCTTCTCAGTACCTTCTTCTCAGTACCTTCTTCTCAGTACCGACTTCTCAGTACCGACTTCTCAGCACCTACTTCTCAGTACCTTCTTCTCAGTACCTTCTTCTCAGTACCTACTTCTCAGTACCGACTTCTCAGTACCTACTTCTCAGTACCGACTTCTCAGTACCTTCTTCTCAGTACCGACTTCTCAGTACCTTCTTTTCAGTACCTACTTCTCAGTACCGACTTCTCAGTACCTACTTCTCAGTACCGACTTCTCAGTACCTTCTTCTCAGTACCGACTTCTCAGTACCTTCTTTTCAGTACCTTCTTCTCAGCACCTACTTTTCAGTACCTCCTTCTCAGTACCGACTTCTCAGTACCTTCTTTTCAGTACCGACTTCTCAGTACCGACTTCTCAGTACCAACACATTCAGTCACTCACACATTCAGTTCCTACTTCTCATTACCTACTTCTCAGCACCTACTTCTCAGTACCTTCTTCTCAGTACCTTCTTCTCAGTACCTACTTCTCAGTACCAACTTCTCAGTACCTTCTTCGCAGTACCGACTTCTCAGAACCGACTTCTCAGTACCTTCTTCTCAGTACCTTCTTCTCAGTACTTACTTCTCAGTACCTACTTCTCAGTACCTTCTTCTCAGTACCTACTTCTCAGTACCTTCTTCTCAGTACCTTCTCAGTACCTACTTCTCAGGACCTTCTTCTCAGTACCGACTTCTCAGTACCTTCTTCTCAGTACCGACTTCTCAGTACCGACTTCTCAGAACCGACTTCTCAGTACCTTCTTCTCAGTACCTTCTTCTCAGTACCTACTTCTCAGTACAGACTTCTCAGTACCGACTTCTCAGGACCTTCTTATCAGTACCTACTTCTCAGTACCTACTTCTCAGTACCTTCTTCTCAGTACTTACTTCTCAGTACCTACTTCTCAGTACCTTCTTCTCAGTACCTACTTCTCATTACCTTCTTCTCAGTACCTACTTCTCAGTACCTACTTCTCAGAAGGCCGTATCCCTTCATACGACGATTGCAGTGGCAAGAAACTATTTTCGTTGCATAAGATCATTTATTATCTAAAATGTTAATAACTACGCAATTTTTTATGATTTTGTTAATATCTTATTCATGTCAGGTCAAATAAAATGGATTCAAAATGTTTTTGTCATATTTTCTGAATGTGCCCTTTGGTTCCGGTCGGTCAATTAAATCAATCGAAAAGTAAAACGAATATCTCCTAATTTAAACCAGTGGGAGTATATACTGCATTCCGGCTGCTGGGATTTGTTTCAATGTATAGTTTACATGATGCTTTAAAATGTATATTTAAAATGTACAGTTGAAACTCGTTACCTCGAAGTCCATGGGCCCATCGACACAAAATAGATATCCATAGTTCGGGACAAATAGTGTGTCGAGAATAGACCATAGTCCCGACAATGATTCTCGTCGTAATCGTTACATGGGGTGATGGAGTTTGAGTTAACGCTGGTTCACTATTTAAGAAATAAACGACGAGGGTGGAGTTGTTTACCGTACAATACTACGCTGTAGGGAGGATAAACCAGGAAGGGTGCAGCCCCGAGAGGTTTATTGCCCCTCCTGTGTTTTAGTGTACGAAAAACAACGATCACGAGTCGGTTTTTTCTTTTTTGAGATATCAACTTCATTTAAAAACTTTAAAACTATTTACCCCTATTTACATTATGATGACTCCCAGAATATAATCCGATCTCGGCAAAATCTGACAATTCCATGTTATGAACGAACTACTGGTAAGCCAGGATAAGTTGAGTTGTGACCTAACAATTAACCCGTATGACTACGTATAAGGAGAGAGAGAGAGAGAGAGGGGGGGGGGGGGGGGGGGGGGGGTGAGAGAAAGAGAGAGAGAGAGATTTCCTGAATATTCTCACAGATTCAATACAGATACAGATTGCCATATCTCGCATTAATGAAAATGATTCCATGTTAAACGTTTTATTGTTTGAAGATCGACTTGACGTGCATTACAATAATACATGCACACAAACAATTACACACGCTGAAAGATACGTTATAACTCGTGCCTATTTGGCACTTCTGAACCTTAAGACAAGCCGGTTTCGAACTCATACCCAGAACAATAAGTAACGCGCCATCCCTCTCACCTTTGAGGTTCACGTGGTGTTAAGAAGCGCCGTAAAATATACAATGTTCTGCCGCAGAATGAATAATACTCCGAGCAGGGCATGTATTGCTGATACTGTTGTCAGGAGAAAATGTTGTTTTGTCAGTGTTGTGCTTCTGCCCATGACAAGAACTAGCAAATAAGTAATGTGTATTTTATATCTTGCGAAAGATATATAACATTTATATATCTAGGAAATTATAGAACTAATAACCTTATATTGATATTCCTTTGTGAAATGTCTCAAGTTCCTTCTGAACTCTCCAAAGTAAGCTTTTCTTGATATTTTCATCAGTAATCCTATTGCTGTTATTGAATGAGTTGATGGAAAAGCGTACATTCAATTTTGTCAAAAATGTGAATACATTAATGCTTACCTCACGAACATATCAATTATGACGGAGATATTTCATCTGATCCTGTTGCCCAAAGTCATGTTCTTATCCTGAGCAACATTACTGGGACACGGAGAGTGAGTGAGTGAGTTGGTTTAACGCCGCTTTTAACAGTATTACAGTTATGTCGCGGCGTGTCAGCTTAATATAGGAGGAAAGCCCGAAGTGATGCAGGTCTCAGACGTTTACCACTTCGGTGAAACCCACGAGCACGGGTATGGTGCTGACAAACCTAGAAACATAATCGGGGCGAACCGAGATTCGAACCCACGACCATAGGTTTCTTGCGTGCCTATGGGACGCTACTCTGCACAGCAAATCGCGGCGCCTTAGACGACTGGGCCACCCGTGCCCCCAAACGGAAAGTGGAAAAAGACGTCACCCTTTTATATTCTGCATGATGCATTGAATGACAGGATGATCTATGACGTAAGAATTTACTCTAACAAATATTGTCTGTGCACTTGAATTCTTTAGTTGCCTCTTATTATTATTTAGAATGTCTTTACCTGGTTTCTATACAACTCACGTGGTATTTCCAGGTAAAAATAAGTCCACAGTAATGGATCGGGTTATCATTCCCGGTGACTTGTTTGATTGTTGTTTAACGCCGCACTCAGCAATATTCCAGCTATATGACGGCGGTCTGTAAATAATCGAGTCTGGACCAATCCAGTGATTGACATTATGAGCATCGATGTACGCAAATTGCGATTCGATAACATGCATCAACCAAGTCAGCGAGCCTGAACACCCGATCCCGTTAGTCGCCTCTTACGACAAGCATGGGTTGCTGGAGAAGTTATCTAACCCGGATCTTCATGGGAATAGTACCGGAATGTCGTGGGACGTTACTCATAAGATTAATCACTGGTTTGTCTCATACGGATTATTGCTGAACGCGGGGTTAAACAACAAACACACAACAAAAATGACTTTACATTAAGGTGGCAGCGATACACCTATCGGGAGATGATATATAAACGTACAAAGATACTAGTTTGGTTGCGATACAAGACACACAACTAAACATTTCTCATGTTGAGGTGAGGTTACCTATCATTAAAAAGAATGAACGGAGACCCAGACAAAACATAAGTTGCAACTTTGTAT